CCATAGATTAATTTTTAGCCACCCCACCTGCCACCCCAATCATTTGAACAAACTATGCTTTCTAGGTTTTATATCGCTTAAATGTATTAATTTCCTCAAATGATTGGGGTGGCAGGTGGGGTGGCTAAAAATTAATCTATGGTGGCCAAGGTCACTTTGACCACTCCCTGGCTCCACCATTGCACCCAGTGCTTAATTTGACCTGGATCCTGCTGGAACTGGATCCGGGAACTCTCTTACTTTGACCGGCTACATTCCGGTTGCTCAGCTTTAGTAACTCTCAGTAATAAAGGAATTAACAAATATGACTGCCTTGAAGGAATAAAACTTAAACAGAATATAATTACATAAACACTACTTTTAAACACAACAGCCACAAGTTATGAGCACACGAACTGAACTGCCTCTTCAAGTAGTACAGTATTTCCGCGTCTACACTTAAAAAATATTTTTGCCCCTAAAAGAGCGATGTGGGTGAGTGCCGAACTAACCAGGTGGTGATACGTGGGCAGGAGCTCACAGACAGCTTCAGGCAGGTGCCTGGAGGTTCACATTTGGAGTCGAACAACAACAAGCAGGGATAGAGTCTAGCTCGGTTCTGAACTTCTCTGAACAGAAGCGGAGTGTTTTGTAGGTAAATGTAGGATGTTTAACAACCTGTTAAAATATACCAAAATGCAAGAAATCACATCTACTTTATTCAAAATTTTCTGGGGGAGGACCCCCAGAGTGCCCCTTCCACCAGCCCACTGGCTATTTGCGTTCCAGCATTGATTGGTTTACACATTAAGCCCTGATTGCACTTGGTGGTGGATAAAATTGCTCCCTCCTTTCCCCAGGATTCTTCAATCCTGTCTAGGACATAAAAAAAAACTACCTCCTCTTCTTATTCATAGCATAACACATACCCACTTAAATGTCTTCAACCACAAACATTGATGTTTGCTTGCACTCATCCTGAAAACTGCACTCACTCACTATTCAAATCCCTCAGCGACAGGGGACATCAGCATATTGGCACATTGGCAGCACGACGGCTCAGTGGTTAGCACTGTTGCCTCACAGGAAGAAGGTCCTGGGTACAATCTCTGGTTGGACCTGGGGTCTTTCTGTGTGGAGTTTGCACGTTCTTCTCGTACTTGCGTGGGTTTTTTCCGGGTATGCCGGTTTCCTCACACAGACCAAAAACATGCATGTTAGTCTGCCTTCAGGCCCAGGCCTCCCTTGCAAATGAGATCTGTGATCTCAATGGGATTAGCCTGGTTAAATAAAAATTAATAAAAATATTGCTTGTTTATACTCACTCTGTGTATCTTTAGGTAAATGGCACTTGGGTTTGAACTGTGAACGCAGAGGGGATCATTGCCATCACCCGAACCAGCATGGCTTCAGCTACTTCTATGGTCTTCCATTTACACTGCTCAGTGACTGCAAGCCTGGTACAGACAGTGAAATGCTGGTGGACCTACAACGTTCACTCCAGAATCTGACCTTGTTGCTTGGACTTGGACTTTTCACAATGGTTGGTTTAATTTCGTTGTAGTTTTTTTTTTTCCTTTTGTTTTCCACCATTTTAACCAAAACAGATACACTTGGAAAATAAACATGACTTCAGAGGCATCCAGTCTGAGAAAATTGGATTTGAAAACTAAAACAAAACAGATCTTTTGTTGCAGAACAAAAGAGGAAGAAATTCAAAAACAATGAGTTGTTGTGCCGTTAACTCCACAGTAACACAGCCGATGCGGAATCTCTGAGACGCATGCCGAAGGCTTTGAAAGAAGATTGAGAACAGAAGCAGCAGTTGTGAAACTCACAGTAACACCAACCTGGAACTTGCCTCGCGGGAAAGCACAATGTTGAAAGTTAAATTCAGGAGATACTTGGCTAGCAAAAGGTGCCTGTGGGATAAATGGGAACCAGCTGTGCCACAGGTAGAGCAAAGCAAAAGAGGGGGAAAAAAAAGGCTTGAAAAAAAAACTTTAGCTCTAATGAGGAGAAATTTATAGGGAGATATAAGAACTACAGCTAGTTGGAGTGCTTTCTGTTGAAAATAACAAATAACTCTGTTTTAAGAGCTTCATATAAATTTTACACAAACTGCATGTGTGATCAAAGGACCCGTTGCTTTAATATGTTCACACGATGGAATTAATTACCCATCTTAATTTCTTTTGTCATGCAAAAGGTTTATCGTGGAATATATTGGGAATCTGACTCAGTCACAGTATCATAAGTATTATGGTGTCAATATTCCACAGTAAAAAAACAAAAACAAAAGGAGGTTGTATCATTTATTCTGTGTTCATTTTCAGGTGTTTGTCCATGTTGTTGGCCTCCTCGAAGTTAGCCTGTGGCTCCTGGTGCTGCTTTTCTTTCTCAGTATAGTAGCATCTGCCATGTGGGTTGTGCCTTTTAAGTTCGTAAACATCTGGAACTGCATCATTATGAGGGACCAAAATGTGATTGAACAGCCCATGACATTGGAGACGCTGCCTGAAAGACTGCTGGGAGAAGCACAAGATTTTATAAAGAGGTGAGCATGTTGAGGTAAACCAGTGGGTGTCAAACTGTGAGGCTGGGGTGGGGGTACCATTGCAATACCATACCATATCATACCATTTTATTTATAGAGCACTTAAAACAGCGACAAGGCCAACCAAAGTGCTGTACAGACAGAAAAATAGGCAACACACAAAACAATATACAAAATGAGGTAAATCAGAATATAGACATAAAAACAATGCAGATAATAAATATGACGACTAACCTGTGTGAAGCAAACAGGTTCAAAACACAGATCCTCTGGTGTTGAAAGCTACTGAATAGTAGTAAGTTTTTAAATGGGATTTGAAAACCGAGAGGGAGGGGGCCTGTCTGATAAGCAGAGGTAACTCGTTCCAAAATCTTGGTTCTGCTACAGAGAAGGCCCTGTCACCTCTGTGCTTAAGACAGGTTTCTGGAACTGTGAGGAGCAACTGGTCCGCTGACCTCAGGGAACATGGTGGAACATGGTGGAACATATGGCTGTAGCAAATCAGAGAGATGTGGGGGGGGGAATTGGAATAGCCAATTCAGCAATTTGTAGACATACAGGATTATTTTGAACTGGATTCCAAGGTGAACCAGTAGCCAGTGCAGTGAGGCCAAAACTGAAGTAATATAGTCTCTTTTGCCTGTACTGGTTAAAAATCAGGCTGCTGCATTCTGGACCAGTTGTAGTCGTGCAATGGAGGTCTGACTGATACCAAACAGGAGTGAATTGCAGTAATCAAGCCTAGATGTAATGAATGTGTGTATTACTGTCTCCAGGTTATTTTTGGATAATATGGGCTTCAGTTTAGACAGCCGCCTCAGTTGGAAGAAACATGATTTAACAATCATGTTTACATGATTGTTAAGTTTCAGGGAAGGGTCCATTTTCACTCCCAGATTAGTGACTCTTTGTTTTTCTGACAGGGTTAGAGCAGAGAGGTTGATGCAGTGATTTGTGATCGTATCGTTGGGAGGGAACAACATGACTTCAGATTTCTTTTCTTTGAAACTTAAGAAGTTTAAAGCCATCCAGTCCCTGATGTCAGCCAGGCAGTCGAGCAGAGGTTGAATAGAGCATGTACCATTGTGTCTTAGGGGGAAGTAAATTTGACAGTCATCGGCGTAGAAGTGAAAGGGTATGTTGTGTTTCAGAAAAATAGCACCAAGTGGCAGCAGGTATAAAGAGAATAGGAGGAGACCCAAGATAGACCCCTGCGGAACCCCCCATTTAAGCTCTGCCGCTGCAGAACTAAAATCCTTGATGGAGACACAAAAAGATCTGTCAGTGAGGTAGGATCTGAAGCAATTGAGGGCTGACCCTGTGATGCCCACCCACTGCTCCAACCTAGCAATAAGGATATCATGGTTGATAGTGTCAAAAGCGGCTGTATGGTCCAATAGGACAAGCAGCACAGAATCACCGGTATCTGTGGATACGAAAATGTCATTAAAAACCTTCAGTAGGGCAGTTTCAGTGCTATGGAGAGGTTTAAAGCCAGACTGGAATAGCTCTAGGATAGTGTGATTGAAGACAGAAGTTTGTAGACAGAAGTTTGCAATTGTTGTGACTCAAGACTTATTTCATTTCCATGTTGATTAGACAGAGAGACAGCTTCCTGCATGGTGTGGAGAGTGGGCTCCATTTTTTGTTCCCCATCCCCATTTGTCCATGATGGGAGCTTGATAACTTCAAATATAAGCAACATGCTGACATACATTTTGGTCTGTGGCTACATCTAGGCATAAGAAAGATCAATATCAAAAATTGGGTGCCATTTCAAATATATATATATATATATATCTCATTCGCCCCACTCAGGGCCCTTGAGCAAGGCCCTTAACACCCACCATCTGCTCCTCCGGGTGTCCTAGATAGCAGCCCTTTGCTCCACACAGAGGGCTGTGGTAGCTCGGTGGTTGCATCAGGAAGGGCATTCGGCGTAAAGATAACTGCCAAGTCTTCGTGTGACTTAGTTCGCTGTGGCACCCCTTAACACAGGGAGAAGCTGAAAGGAAAAAAAAAAAAAAAAAATATATATATATATATATATATATATATATATATATATATACCGTCAACATCAAAATGTGGGTGGAAAAGGTGAAACACCCTCACCTGCCGTCACCCTCATTTGCCCCTCTCTGGGCCCCTGAGCAAGGCCCTTAACCCCCACCATTTACTCCCAAAAACAGGTCTCTTTTGAAAATGAGTCCTCTTGATTCAAGATTACCTGTATAAATAAAGGGTAAATAAAAAAAAAGGAAAGAAAATGAAACGATTGTCTCTAAAACTACAAACATTCACTATTCTAATCCCTCATGTACCTCATGAGGACATCAGTGTACCATTTGTTATTCTTCAGATGACACACGACCCCAATAGAAGTGATTAGAGTAAGCCAGATGAATGAGGTCTCATCTTAAATTAGGGTCAAATGGTCAGACATAATTGTTGAGATGAGCTGATCAGAGTGGGACACCCCACAATAATAAACTGATGATATGCAACTTCAACATGTCATTGAGATATGGAAAAAATAACTGATTCAAGTCAAACGAGACAGACAAATAATTATAGTGAAGAAGACCAAAATATTAACACAAAGAAGCATTGCATTCAAGTAACTATAAACCACTCAAGCTTTTAAGAATAAAATTAAAAAAATCACAGCAGGAAACCCTTTTAAAATTCAGCATCAATGAAGATAAAACACTAATTCACTAATACTGTGCTTAAATTACGTCACCACTAAAAATAAATTTGTTTTGTTTTTCCTGCAAAATACCTGTTTGTGCTTTTTTGCACAGAATAAACTGTATAGTTGTTTTTTAAGTATATAATTTATATATATTGTGAAAATAGGCTCATTGCTGTCAATACCATTATAATGTTGAACTTTGATCAATCATGTTTATTTACAAAAAAAAAAAAAAAATTCACAAATTAGTCTTTATAATTGTGACTAAATGTGTTTGAACATATGTTGTCTCTGATTGTATTGAATAACTAGAGGTTAATTAGGCTGTTTGTTTTTATTTATTTAGCAAAGTGCAGTTCTTATTTCAGTTTTCATTTTAAAGAAAAGTTCAGTCCAAAATAATAATCTGAGACAAAAATCCTTAAAAACAAGTTACCGGTAAACTTGATTTTTATTATCGACACAATAATTTACCCCC